CGCAGCGAGCGGCCCTCGCGCGGGCGCCATGTTGGGCGCTCGGGCCGCTCGCGTGGCCGCGACGCCAGCGGCCGCGACAAACAGTGGAAATGAACCGCGAAAAGACGTTTTACCAAGTAACGCACTTACTGACCAAGCAGTGCTGCCCTGGGAAGCGGCTGCACGTTACATACGCATTTTTCCATACTACCCCCACGGACTGGCACCTGCAGGCTTTGCCTCAGTCGCCACTGCTGCGTCACCCTGACAGAGCCCATCTCAGGGGAAGCTTCACCATGTCAAGTGACAGAAAGACAAAGTAAGGAACCCACAGCTCTTATATACATTTACCAGCTGAAGAAAGGGTGAGGGGGAAGGCAATAACACATTAATGCGGGTCAGCTGTGACCACTCGGGCCCTCTCCGGCCAAACCCGTGACCTCGTTACCTTCACCAGGCTAGGAACCCACAGCTCTTATATACATTTATCAGCTGAAGAAAGGGTGAGGGGAAGGCAATAACACATTAATGCGGTCAGCTGTGACCACTCAGGCCCTCTCCGGCTAAACCCGCGACCTCGTTACCTTCACCTGGCCTTGGCACAGGGCAAGGGAGAAGGCCCAAGCTTTGTTTGTGACCTGATCAGTTAAAGCCTATTTCCTCTTTAAAGATTTATGGATGCATTCTAACTGTTATCTTCTTTTTCACATTCCAATCACTGCCAGAGATAGTGATATGTTAAATGGCCTGGTTGTTTCATACCATCCTGCCAAAGTCAATATGGGTAAGAATAGAAATGGACATCATAACCCTTCCAAGGATAACCCTTATCATCTGCCCTTTGGTAACTTCTGCTTTAATCTCCTATTTTTAAGGTTATGTTGAGATGTAATAGGAGACGTATGTTTGGTTATAAGATGATCATTTCCTGAGGTTAGTGGTGCTTGAGTTAACAATTATAGGAATAGCGATAAAAAAAGAAATGGGATAGATTTATTGTATGTGTTACACTATCAATTTAAAAAATAACTATGTATCATGTAGTATCACCCATTTTCTTAAATGAAGAGTCTGAATTTTAATTCAGAATAAAAAAGATCCCAGATTCCTCCAATGTAAAATAGCACAAAAGATAGTTTTTTTTTATGGTAATACATGTAAAACATCAATCATCTGATTTGTGAATGTAATGGAGCTTACCAGTCTGTTAGATTAACAGGTGAATCCACTTCTCATACAAAATGTCTTGTCGTATCTCAAGAACAGATTAATGGGATTTTGTTTTTACTTCACGGAAGTCTTTTGAAATGCTAAAACAAAGACAACCAAACAATTATACTGGAAATAATCTCTGAAAAGTCCATCATGTATTTCAAGGGCTGATGTTGCTTGGATTGTACAGAATATATTGCTACATTAATGCAATACTATTGAACAAATATTGAGCATACCTTACGACAAGAAAGACAAGCTACATCAAAACTTCAAATCAAAACCTATACATTTCTAACTGTGCAAGTGCACAAATAAGAAATTTAAGCATCCCTTTGTTATTAAAAATAAACATCCATTTTTTACCAGGATGTAACGTTAAAAAAAGAAATATAGGATACTGCAAAACACAAATGAGATTTTCTTTTAAACTTACAATTCAAATTTCAAAAGCCACAGACTCAACTGTGCTTCTGTTTATGAGCAAAAATATGAAAAGGGGAGTCACAGATATTTCACACAAACACATAATCCCACTACATACTGCAGTTAAAATTGCAACAGTAAAGCAGCGTTGAATACCTCATTATTATGGAAGTTGATCAAACATTCCAACACCTACGATTTGAATGCTTGTAAATAAAAAACTAAAACATAATTTCCCCATATTACTGATAATTTTCTTGCAATTTAACAAAAGGCATCTTCAAGAACTTCAAAAAATACCAGAAAAAAAGAGGATTTTTATCTTAGTAGCAGAGCATATTTCAAAATACAAACTAAACATCACTAATGGATTTATTTTTATCTCCTACTTCAATTTAAAGGATAGATAAACCAGGCCCATTAGGTGAGTTAATGAAAAAAGAGCCACTGTGCTCAAGGGTGACATTTAACAAAATTTAGCCAACATTCAAAGACCAGAAGAGCCATCGGTGCAGAGCGGAAAGGAGCCTTGTGCCCAGCTCGTGCCAGGCTGCCTTACCCGGCTGTTGAGCCCCGGTGCGTCCCCGGTGCGGAGCTGCGTCCTGCCAGGAGCCGAGCCCCACGGGAATGGGCCCTGCAGCCAGCGGGGCAAGGGACAGGGACGTTATTTCAGGCTCTCCATGAGGACGTTGCCTAAGTAATGCCTTCCGCAGCCCGCACGCAACGGCTGCGGCTGCTAGATGCTCTTCACGGTGCAGGCGTGCATGCGGTTGCCGGAAGGGCACCTCAGAACCTTGAGTTTGGCCCTCAGTTCTTTCATCTTCAGCGTGTATATTACGGGGTTTCCCAAACAGTTGATGGTTACCAACATAGCCTTGCAATTCCGAAAGATGTTGGTGCTTGGGTAGAGTTCAAGGGGGCACTGGTGGTTAGTTGCATCGAACAGGACTCCTGCAAAGAAAGGAGCGTAGGAGATCAATGCCAGGAGCCAAATGGAAACGCTAGTTCTGGCGACTTGGATCTCAGCTGATTTGTAGGTGCCGGTAGCTTGTCCACATGCCTTCATTTTGAACTTTCTTTTCCTCAGGATGATAATGATGCTGAGGTAGGTGAACAGAGGCACAATAAAGGCCACCACACAATTAGGAATGGTGGTAAAGATGAGGTAGTCAACACAAAGGGGACTGTAGAGGATGGAGAGACGATTTTCCCTATGCAAGCAGTTCCACCCTATCAATGGCAAGCAGCCGAAAAAGAAGGCAAGGGTCCAGTTAATTAAAACAGCAGCTAACGAATGCTTTCTAGAAACCCTGAATCTTGTTCTGATGCTTTCGGCTACAGCCAGGTAGCGTTCAATTCCAATGCTTACCAAGTTATAAATAGTAGATAAAATAGATATAGTATAAAAGGCATAAGGTGCAAGCATATCCTTGGATCCAAAGATCGTACTGTCAGGGTTGGTGATGAAGAGCAATGAAATCCAGAAGCCAGAAGAGCTGGTGAAGAGATCAGAAAAAGCCAAATTGCAGAAGAGTACAAGGATAGGCTTGTGCAGATCCTTGGTAGCCATTATGGTGAAGATGACGGTGCAGTTGGAGATCATGGATATTATGTTAATAGTCAGCTGAGGGATGCCCAGTGCAAGTACTAATTGTGGACTCCAGATTTTAGTATGGTTGACAGAGCAGTTTGGGTACCCGTTCATGGTGAAAAATCCTATTTCAGAGCATTAACAAAATCTGCCTTACACATCCCGTATTCCATAGGAGACCGTACTACACCCCCATTACCGCCACCTTGTTCTCCAGTTGAAAAATGAATGGCTTCTATTGCCACATCATCATCACCATAACAGCGGATTAAACTTTAACCACTTATTTTTAAATATTTGGGTTACCAACTCAGAGCTCAGCCAATTACTCTTAGGTTGCTTGGATAAACAGAAGTGGAAAATATACTTAATGCTGTGCAATTGATCTGCCTAAAGCAACCTTTATCAAGAGCAAAGTTTTGCCAGCCCTTGTGAAGCAGGATGACTGCATCAGTAGTTAGTTATAAAGACTGTGATGATATTTTAAAAAAGAATGAATGTGAATTCATCAGTAGTTTACAAGTACATTAAATAGAAATAAATAGAAGAGATTAATGAGTGAGAAAATGGAGACCAAGAATTTCTGGGGGAAGGGCAAGGCTGATGAAACCAAGGAAGAAAAGCACTTTTGTAGCCTGGACCCCAGTTTAGTGGATGATTTTGATTCTGAATTGAAAGATAACAGTTCTGCTCTAATATCACAATATCTTTTCTTCCCATGTCCCTTTAAAGATAAATAACTTGAAAACTGCGTTTAAAGTACTGGAGCCTATTTAAAAAAATGCCCTTTGTACATTTAGTGTCTATCAGCAGAGGGCACTGCTGTAACAAACAATAATACATCCAAAGACACCATATACAGCCATATACGGTGGGGAAAATAAGATTCTTAAAAGAACTGTAACATCTCCAGCATTACATCAGGATAGAAGTACAAACAGCAGTAGTCTTAAGGAGCTGCTTTTGATTTGTGATGCACTATCCAATCCCACATTTTATCCTAAAGCCCATAGACAGACCTCTCCAAGGTGCTCTCATGGCTACCCAACATCTACAACTAAGACCCTCCTTTTTGCAAGTTTTTATATAGAAAATATCTAGGTAATGACATGTTACTTACAAAATGATACCCAGCTGAATCTGTGATGCATCATATCAAATGCATTTTTACTGTTACTGTAACAAAAGATTTATTGTTTTCCAGTGATATTTTATTACAGGGATATTGCGACAGTAGCTCAGCTAGGTATATGAACTTGATGCTGTATTTGGTACATGCAGTGCTGATATCTCATGATTACTCATGATTACAGCAAGAATTCCAGCTCTGAAAAGCTGTAAATCTGTGAACTATATGATAGCACTGTCAGAATTTATATTATATGAAATTTGCGATAAAATGATAGAGTTAAAAGAAACTTTTTAGTTTTGTTCTTTTTTCCTTTTTTTTTTCTCTCCTCCCTCCTATTAAAATTAAGGTTTATGAAAGTACTAGTGGGTTGAAATGTGACCGGGAATATGCAACTATTGTGTGCTAGAAATAATTCATACAAGTAATAGATATTTCAAATGGCCACAAAAAAAGGAAGCGCACAAAGATATTTATATAGTGATAAGTACTAGCAACTTGATTGATTTATTCATATCCCATAAACTATTATTCTTGGAATTATGACCAATAAAATACTCTGTACTT